AATGCTCTTTTATCAGAGTAGAATTAGATTCTCTATTTCTACCAGAACACATTTGGTCTCACATGAAGTGTGCTTTCACAGTGTTTTCCCCATAATTTATTTTACAAGTGGCACTTCCTGAAGTTGAGCACAGCTACAGCTCTGCAAAACGCTTTGTGAAAGGGCTCCTGCCCTATGTCAAACAGCAACTAAAAATATCTTTTTATTTTGGCTTGAAGGAGAGAGCTTGGCTGGTGTAGCAGCTGCCTTTCCTTAAGGGTGAAGGTGGAAAAGCCAGTTCCCTGTTCTTCTGAATCACACCTGGAAACGAGCAGCAGCTTCCCCTGCAAACACAGCAAGCCACCAACCCAAGGCAGACATGAGACTGTCAGTCTGGAGGGTTTTATCCATGCCCAGGGATCTCTCCAGGCTTTCCTTGTCTGGGTAACCTGCTGCTCGTGGATGGACAGGGTCAAAGTGACACTTGGCTTGTGGCCTTCACCCTTGTGTGGCACTAACCACAATGTTTCCTCATTTCTCACTACGGGTCTTTCTTTCTCACACCAGTCTTGATTTCTGACCAAATCCAAAGAATAACAAACATTGGAGCCCGGACTAGAACGTGCTTAAAGAGCACAGGCCACTGAGGTACATAAATCACCATGCTGGGTTCCAGCTAGTCCATCCTTGGTCCCAAGGGATGGGAGTTCCTCCTACATCCTTCTGAGGCTCTGATGGAAAAGGTTTTGACCTCCACTCCTGGGATGGTCCTGTCTGAGGACCCACATTGACTTCAGGTGCTCCCCTGATGAATGGTGATGGGAATCAGGTCTCCATCCCTCCTCCCACTCTTACATCCTCCTGCATCAGGTTTGAGAAAGCAGGTGCCTATCTACCTATAGGGGGTTCTGGTTCCCTGACCACCTGCCATGGGTGTGCTACTGCAAGGACAAACCCAGCACTTAGCTTTTAACAGGATTTTCCATTAGCAAAAGAGCCAGTGCAGCCTCTATAGAAACACTCAATTGTTAAAGTTGAAAAAACCCTCAGAGATCATCGAGTGAAAAATCCTGATTATGATATATCCCACTTTTCTGCAAATACCTGCAGTGCAGACATCATCAGCTCATTAGCTGTGCCTGGATGTTTTTGTAGTCACAGAATCATGCCATGGTTTGGAAGGGACCAGCAACATCACCCATGCCATGGGCAGGGACAGCTCCCACCATCCCAAAGGCTCCAACCTGGCCTTGGACACTTCCAGGGATCCAGGGGCAGCCACAGCTTCTCTGGGCACCCTGTGGTTCCTCACAGGGAGGAATTTCTTCCCAATATCCCATTTAACCCTTCCCTCTGCCAGTTTAAAAACACAGTCCCTTGTCCTATCACTTTCTGCCCACACAAGAAGTTGCTCTGCCTCCTTTTATAAACCTCCTTTAGGCTCTGAGCTCTCCCTGGAGCTTTCTCCTCTCCATGTGAGCACCCCCAGCTCTCCCAGCCTGGCTCCAGAGGAGGAGAGCAGCCCCTGGAGCATCTCCATGCCCTGGGACAACCAAAGGGAGATGAACCCGAAGCTACAAACCAGCCTTAAACTCCTGACCCTACATCTCTGAAAAGTCTCCAGTTCAATTCTCCTGGCAGGTTTTTGCTCGGGGAATAGGAACCCTGCCACAAATCCCAGAACCACCCCCCAGCATCCCCAGAGAGCAGCCTGGGAGAGCCCCAGTTCTCCCCACACTCAGCAAGGACTAAACACGAGCTACAAACCAGGATTTCATCCCGGGTTGAACAACCCGCTGCTAAAGACCCTCATTATCCTCAGGAGCTGTTAATGGGATTTAAAGTCCTGGTGATAGCATCCCGTGCTCAGGGACTGTGATCACACACCCAACAGGGAGTTAAATTACTCAGCTGATAAACAGACTGTGCTGGTGTCGGGGAGTTTGAGCTGATTTAAAGAAAAAAGTCATTGTAGATTATTGGAGCATGGAAAAACGGCTGACAGCATTTAGAGCATACATAGCTCTTGTTATTCGAAATTTTGGGTTATTTCAGCTTTTCAGCACTGATGTGATGAATATTACTCCTGTGTAACTAATGTGGAGCTGCTCTGCAGAGAGTGGCAAGGATGTGTGCAGACTCAGAGACACCAAGGACGGCACGAGTACGGAAGTTTCCGAGTGCTGGAGGACTTTTAAGGGGAGCTGAGGGTCTTTTGTCACTTTAAAAATTTAATTTTACTAAAAATTTGAATCAGACATCAGTGAACAGTGCGACTCAACGATGACTTCTTGCAAATTTATGTCCAAGAGAGAAAAAAAAGAAGTCAAAACATTTGGATATTTTCCGAAGAAAACAAATCACTTATTCATTTCACTCTGATGCAATTTGAAGGCTCAATTTGAAATGTCTGAATTTTAATAAATTCCCATTTACTCTCAAGTTGAAACAATACATTTCTCTTTTGGAAGTTGTATTGTTTTTCACAGGAGTTTCACTTTCATTTAAAATGTGTATCAATATCATTTTCAGTCGGTCCTGAATTCTTTCACCTAATTTTGTCTAATGAAATAAAAAAAATCTATTTTACTTTACCACTTACACCTTCTTTTTTAGCAGACTTGGCCCCAGCATGTTTCAGCTTGTAGATTTACAGTAAAATTTTCTGATTTCTGCAAGTTTCAGACTTATCTCCTGAGCTGCAGAATCCAAGATAAGAAGTTTCTGTTCCCTTCTTGACAGCATTGAACAATTCTCAGATTTGAATAGGAAATTGCAATTAATAAAGGGGGAAATCAGAGGCAGCATATTTTGTAGTCATAAAATAAATGAACTTTTGCTGTGTTTATATTAAACATATAATATAGCAGGAAGTAAAGATCAAAGCCATGTTTATAAAAGACTTGGCCAGTTGTGTGCTTGGAGGAAGCAAATAGGTTCATGGGAGGCACCTAAAGAATGAAGTTTGGATTTTTAGCTGGTGGAAATCAGTGTGCCTCCTTTGACTTCTCTGATTTACGTCAGCAGAGAAGCTGGCTCAAGCGTTTCAAGGCAGGACAGATATGGTGAAACAAAATAAAATTATTTTTTTCTACTGAAAAATATTTGCCTGAGATTTCTTCTCTATTTCAAAGTACTGGGAGTAACTCAGAGGAACAGGATCCTGATTTCCAGCTTCATTAGCTGGAAGGTTGTCAGGTGGTCGGAACTAGACAATCTTTAAAGTCCCTTCCATCCCAAATCATTCCATGATTTCACGATTTTAGGTGTAAAGGTGGAAATGAGGTTTGGAGCTGGTTCCTGCCCTGGCTGGCCAAGGAAGGGAGTATCTCAATGGGGCTTCTCAGAGAGCTCAGCCTTCAGGTACTGGCGTCCCCCTGAGCCCCACATTTCCCAAACTGTTTATTTGCAGGTTACACCACCTCCCCTCCATTCCCCCCAACACACCTGATCACTGAAAGGGAAACTGAGGCACGGTGAAATGGGATAATTCATCCCGGGTCCTGCAGGGAGAGGAGTTCAGTGAAGCCTTACTGAGTTAAACCATCAACTGCAACGCTCCCACAGGGTGGAAATTCCTCACAGCAACGACTTCACCCCCCAAACAGAGAGAGAGCTGAGCCAAACCCCCCAAACACCACCCTCACCCCCGGGGAGGCTCCGGAGCACAGAGGCAGCAGAGAGCAGCGTGGTGAGAGCAGACACACACAGCCCTGATTCACCACTCCAGGGACACCTCAGCTCTCGAGGCACCATGGATCCCGGTGGATTTTCCCACTGCAGGGTGTCCCACAGCCCTGGGCTCCAGCTGGCCCTGGGGACACAGCCCAGGGAAACAGCCCCGGTGCTGGAGGGAGCTCAAAACCTCAGCAGGTCAAAATCTGTCTCGCAGTCACGATGCTGTTCCCACTGACTTGAGAGGCAGCCCCGGGCAAGAGGATTTGAAAAACCCTGAGAAAAAATGCAGCCCCAGCTGTAGTGAATGCTCCCGGGCTTGGTGGGACACAAGTCCCCCGTGGGCTGTGGGACACGTGGGTCCCAGCTGGCAGATGGAATGACAGACCTCTGCTTCACTCAGCAATGTGCAAGGGCTGCTGCTGATACTCAGGAATTATTTTAATCTCCTTCTTCCCAGCTCCAGGTTTAGCTACAGCATTCCAGAGGGTGAATCAGGTCCCCTGAGCTGGGTGCCTGCTGTCAGGATGAGGAGCTCTGGCTTCCCTGCACATCCTGGGCCACTGGTGCTGGAAGGGGACGTTGCTTTGGGCATCACACGTCCCCGGTGGGCTCTGTGCCTGCTCAGCCCTCCCTGCACGCAGGGGGGAGCATCCTTTTCACAAACAACTTGCCAAAACTTTAGAGCACAACTCGTGAGACAACCCTAAATGAGCACACGGGCACTACAGCAGGGCCACAGCTCCTGGGGGTGCTGGATCAGTCCTGGAAAACCAGATGGGATCTTCACCCATCACCCTTATGGAAAATACCCGGTCCTGCTCCAGGTCCCTGCACAACAACAGCAACCCGGGAAGTCAAGATTTGTGCTTCAGGCTCTGACACACTCCTTGGAGGGATAAAACCTCACTCATCTCCAACAGAGATGGGAGCCCTGGACCTACAGGGGTCTATCCAGGTGTAGTTCCCAAACTGGGAGAATGAGAAGATAGCAAAACTGTTTGGAGACCATTGTGCCATAAGAACAGCCTGTTTGAAACAGGGCTGCTTCCTCCTCAGCCTGAGCTTCGTTAGTTAAAATGCTGAATGCAGAATGAATTAATTAAAGCAATTATTATGCTGCTATTTTATTCATTTGCTATCTACTTTGATTGATTGTACGACTTTGCTTAATAAATATTGAATAAGTGCTAATTAATTGAATTAATTCATCGCTGGTTTATTCATATCCATCAGTCAGCTATCCCTCATTTCCATGCATGAGTTGTGTCCTGAAAAGTTTGTCCCAAGCAGCGGGTTACCAGGGGTTCAGCCCCAGGCAGTGGAGCTGGGATGGGGTCACTTACCAAAAGGCAGGATGAAGAAAAAGGGGAACCAGCAGAGGATGAAAACACCCACGACGATGGCGAGAGTCTTGGCTGCTTTTTTCTCCCGGGAGAACTTGAGGAGCCTCACGGAGAGGGAGCTCCTGAAGTTGTGCCCCTTGTTGCGGGTGCTGGAGAGAGGCTCCTCCAGCACGCTGCGGCAGTGGATGCGCAGCACCACCTCCATGGACTTGTTCCTCTCCTTCTTGACCCCTGCCTCCAGGCTCCGCGTGGTCCTCCTGGCCACCACGTAAATCCTGAAGTACATCACCAGGATGACCATGAGGGGCAGGTAGAAGGAGAAGAGGGAGGAGAACAGGGCATAGCCCGGCTCCTCCGTGATGCTGCAGATGCTCTCATCCGGCGGCGGCGGCTCCTTCCAGCCCAGCAGTGGCCCGATGGAGATGACCATGGAGGAGAGCCAGACCACCACGAGGATGACCCCCGCCTTCCTCTCGGTCATGATGGTGGGGTACTTGAGGGAGTACTTGACGCCGATGTACCTGTCCACGGAGATGATGCACAGGCTCATGATGGAGGCAGAGCAGCACAGCACGTCCACCGCTGCCCAGATGTTGCAGAAGATGCGCCCGAACACCCAGAAGCCCAAAACCTCCAGGGTGGCCGAGAAGGGCAGCACGGTGGTGCTGAGCAGCAGGTCGGCGATGGCCAGGTTGACGATGAAGTAGTTGGTGACCGTCTGCAGGTGCCGGTTGCAAGCCACCGAGAGGATGACCAGGATGTTCCCCACGATGGCCGAGAGGATGAAGACGGCCAGGAAGACCCCGACGCCCACCGCCTGCACATCCAAGGCGAAAGTCAGCGTGGTGCCGTTGCCCTCGGGGGTCTCCTCCCCTTGCAGCCCCCAGGACCGGTTGGCAGCGCTCTGGCTGCCTTGTCCCGTCCGGTTCCCACTCAAGCTGCCATTGCTCAGCTCGGGGAAAGTCATTGTAGAAAAAGTCCGGGCTCCATTGAGGGCGAGGAGAAAGCGGTGCCGAGGCGCAGCTCCCCCGGCATGATCCCCGGCTGGCAGCCCCCGCCAAGAGCGCTCCGCACCTCGCTCGCCCGGCCGGGGTGGAGGGATGGAGAGAGGCAGGGATGGGGAGAGAGAGAGAGAGAAAGAGAGAAGGAGGGAGGGCAGGACGCGCTGCCCGGCGCCCCCCGCCCGCTTCACTCCGTCCGTCCGCGCTGCGCCCCGGCCCCGCTGTCCCCGCTGTCCCCAGCGCTCAGCCCCGCTCGGGGGGGCAGCGCGCTCAGAGCCCCCCCGGCCCCTCGCATGCTCCGGGGGCTGCGCTGGGCACGGCCGGCAGCGCCCGGCGGCTCCGCGGCTCCGCGCTCCGACCGGGAGCGGCGGGAGGGGCCGGACGGGCCGGGGGCGGGGGGAGCCCCGCGCGTCAGGTGCCGCCGGGGAGGAGGAGGAGGAGGAGGAGGAGGCGGCAGCGGCAGCGCTGGTTTGCAGGACGAGGCGGGCCCGGGGCAGAGGGAAGCCGGCAGCAGAGCAGGCGGGGAGAGGAGAGAGGATGGAGGGGATACAGGGGAGATGATGGAGGGGGTTCAGGCGAGATGATGATGGAGGGGGTCCAGGCGCGCTCTGGGAGGAGGCAGCCCCAAGGAGGGTCTCGCAGCAGTGGGGTGCAGCCCCAGGAGGGTCACTCAGCAGCGGGGTGCAGCCCCCAGGAGGATTAGGACATAGAACTGAGGTGCAGCCCCAGAAAGGGTCTCGCAGCACCGGGGTTCAGCCCCAGGATGATCGCTCAGTACTGGGGTCCATTCCGCAGGACAGTCTCGCAGTACTGGTGTGCACCCCCAGAAGGGTCACTCTGCACTGGGGTCCACCCCCAAGAGTGTCACTCAGTAATGGGGTCCATCTCCAGGAGAGATCACTCAGCTCTGGGGTCCATCCCTCAGGAGGGTCACTCAGCAGAGGGGTCTATTCCCCAGGAGGGGTCACCCAGCTCTGAGGTCCAGCCCCCGCAGGGTCACTCATTACTGGGGTCCATCCCCCGCAGGGTCACTCATTATCACTCATTACCGGTGTCCATCGCGGGGGTCACTCCGCTCCGGGGGCAGCCCGGGGCTGCAGCGCTCCCGCCCGTCACCGCCGGAGGGCAGCAGAGCGCAGGCTTTGCCCGGCGGGTCCGGTCCGGTCCCGCGGGGTCCCGGGGCCGCGGGCACAGCGCGGGATGCGCCACCCCTCTGATGGGAGACAACCCATCCCTCTGGAGAACCCCTATCCTTCTTAAGACCCCCATCCCTCAGGAGACACCCCCCATCCCTCAGGAGACACCCCCGCATCCCTCTGGAGACCTCCCATCCCTCTGGAGACCTCCCCATGCCGGGAACCCGAAGACAGCATCCCACCAGGAGGATGTCCTGCCAGGCTGCCATATCCTCCTTTAGCTCCAGCATCCCACCAGGAGGATGTCCTGCCCCTCTGACATCCCCCTCTCCCAGTATCTCAACACAAGGACGTCCTGTATGGCTGGCATGTCCCCTCCAGCCCCAACACCCCACCAGGAAGATGCTGTGCACAGCTATCCTTTCCCCCCCAGCTCCAACATCCCACCAGGAGGATGCCATGCACAGCTATCCTGTCCCCCATAGCCCCAACATCCCACCAGGAGGATGACATACACAGATATCCTGTCCCCTCCAGTTCCAGCATCCCTCCAGGAGGATGCCATGCACAGCTATCCTGTCCCCCAGAACCCCAAAACCCCACCACGGGAATTCCCTGCCAGTCTGACAGTTCACCCCCAGCCCCAGCAATCCACCAGAAGGATGCCTTGCCAGGTTTCCTGCATCCAGGGCTTCCATCAAACATCTCTCCCACGCCAAACCTTGTTCTCCCAATCCCGACCCCCCCAGCCCAGGCATCCTGCTCGGCGTGCAGGCATCCCCTCATGAGCTCCTTCCCAAAACAGAAGGGACACTCAGGGTCCTGCATTCGGGGACAGCTCCCTGCCCATGACTGAACCCTGCAGCAAATGGACACAGCAGCTTGTGACTATAACATATAGGCACATATTTCTGGCTAATTCCAACAGGGCTGGGGTTTTTTCCCACTGATAAAAACAGATCCTGTTTACACTGATTTCCTCCCGGTGACCTGGCTCCATACATTGTGATGGGGACTGACCCCGCTGGTGAACAAGGGCTCTCCCTCAGCTTCCTTCTACTGTACACAGGAAATATTTCCTTGGAGTGTGTTTATCCCTGATTTTTCAACTTTTCTTTCTTAAAAAAATAGTTGTTTCAAAGGGCAGGCCAAGTGGACAGTGGGATGATTTAACTGGTGCTGTCAGAGCATGGGAGATCTGTGGATTCACTGGGTATGAGAATGGACAAAAAATATTATAGTTTGTTTATTCCTTTATTTCCCTTGATAATTATTGCAGGAAATGACACATTTTTGATTTTCCTCATTTCTTTCATGCACTTCTTTTCTTCCTTAAGATTTCACCCAACTTCCTTGAGCTGGGTTTTTGGCCCTACTGAGAACAAGAAAACTTGAAAATACAAGAAAATGGGGACAAATACTGCACAAGGAAAATGTTCATAAGGATGGTTTAGCTTAAAATAACCCACAATAACAAACACTTAACAGCTTTTTTAATGTGAATTAAGAAAAAAAATGCCCAAACACCCAACACTTGAGGTCAAATTCATTTTCCTTATGTTTTGATGAAAACATGTCAGCCACCAAAATGAAGGATTGTTTCTTACTGGGATGCTAAACTCAGCATGGGAAGATCTCATCCCATGGAATTTTGTAGCCCTATCTTTGCAGCAACACAGATTGCTGTGGAGATATATTTATCTCATCTAATCTACCCAGTGACACTCAGAGATAAAGAAAACATGTGCCTCTCTCCAAAGTGAAGGCTTGACTGAAGCTTCTCATGTACAGCGGGATTTTGACCACGTAGGAAGAGAAGAGAGGTTCATTGGGGTGAAGATTTTGCATCTGCCCTGATCCTGCCCTCCCTGGGTGAGCTCTCCTCCTCTCCTGGTGTCTCCAAACACAACTGGTCCCTCTTGCTGAGAGCTTTGAGCTGGCAGGGACTGCAGAGGTGCAAGGGTGGGATGGGAGAACTGAAGGGGCAATTTTTGGTGGGGATAAGAGCCTGGGGACCGCCACATCTGCCCCAAGCACACAGAAAACCCTTGAGGTTGCACTGATGCCTTTGCCCTCCCCAGCAGGGCAGGGGGAGATCACATCCCGTGCTGTCACTGCAGCTCAGGGCTCACTGCCATCCTGGCACCTCCTTGCTTTTCACCTGTCTCCTTGTTTCTCTCCAAATCAGAGCCATTGTGGTTAATTTAAACTAACGAGGGACAGGTTTGTACTGATGCACTTAAACCCAAATGGAAGTGTTGGAGTAGGTCTGCATGGAGGAATTTGAAGCAAACACATAGAGAGATGTGTGAGCACCTGGGATCTTGCCAGGCAGGAGGTACAGCTCTTCATCCCTTTCCTCCCTCTCTTTTTACCCTTTTTGGGCAGAGGTTATCCTGGGATTTAGGCAGTGCCATTTGGTGATGTCAACAGGGTTTTTTAGATAGATAAAAACACACAGACACATCTGGTGAACAGTGTTTGTCACACTATAATTGCATGTTATGGCCAAATCATGGAAAAGAAAGGTAAATTTTGGTTCAAAGCACCAGAGCTTGAAGGATTTTAATCAATATTTGCAAACATTCTGGAGTTTATACCAAGGAGAGTGGTACTCTGGGTGGAAGGTGTCCCTGCCCATGGCAGGGGTTTGGAAATAAATAATCTTTAAGGTCCTTTCCAATCCAAACCATGATTCTGTGACTCCACCATTACTCTGCAAAGGAAGATTGTCCATGGTGCATCTGCCTGCAGCATCTCCTGGGTCAGAGCTGAGAGAAATGGATCCTGCTCACAGCCAATGCAGAACAGTGGCAAATTCATAATATTTAAATATTTGTAAAGGTGGGTTTGCCTTGCCTTGGGCAGGGCATCCAAAAATCCTCTGGAGAGCCAGGATCAGTCTTCACTGATCTCTCACTTGTCCCTCTGAGGTCATGTCCAGCTCTGCTGGCTCCTGTGCTGCCCCCAGGTCTTCAAGCATATTAAAAATGAGCTGAAAGTGATTGCAAGGGGTGGTTCAAACCTATTCTGCTGCACCTTTTGTTTCCAAACATGGGGGCTCTGGAGAAATTGGACATCAGGACAATAACTGGGAGATCTAATAGGCAGAACCTGGACTGGGCAATTGCTGCAGAGCATTAGAGATGTAGGGGGTTTTGATTTTAATTGGTGGGGTGTGCATAAATTGTCCACCTTTGTTGGTGTTGTGATGTTACTCTTTTTCAACCTAAATGATTCTAAGAAGTTATTTTGACTTTGTTGGGGTGAATTCCTTTTGTTGAGGTAAGTGAAATTTTTGTGATTAATGCATGTTTTGTTGGTATTTTTGTATTCTTGCGATTTTATTTAAGTCTAGGAAAAATCAGGCTATGCTCTGAATGTTTATGGCTTAATAAATGAGGCGGGAAGGAGAAGGAAACAGCTTTTGTTAACTGAATGATAAAGGTGGGAGAAAAGAAACTTTGAGCATCCTCTAATGATATCTACCTAAACCTGCTCAGACATGGATTACCATTCCCTCTCCCTTTGCCTTCCTGCTCCCACACACCATCCCAGCTACTATCACATCTTACTACATTTACTATTTTCCCCCCAGTTTTCTCCTTTTCATGTGAATGTGGCTGCTCTGGGTACAGTTTGGTTTTTAACTGTTTGCTCCCCTACTCAAGTGCTGTGATCCCAGAGCACACATGGGAAGGACAGTGAAGATTTGGTCCAAGCCCCTTTCCTGAAGATGGATTTGTCTTTTCCAAAACCTCCCTTCATGGTGGCTTTCTCCTCCTTCAGTGGACTCCCTGTCCTCTTGGTTGGGAGGTTTCTGGTCTAGTCTAAA